TGCCAGTTGTTAATTGCTGACATCTCATCACCCGTGTTGGAAGTCTGCGTGATGACTGCTCGGCCATCTGGCGCATCGGCTTGCGCGCCCCCTGAGTGGTTAATTGCCTTGGCCAGCCTATGCCTGAGCACGGAATATGGAGCGGGAATTTCGATGCCCTTGTTGTTGATAGACTGAGGTCCCGTGAACTATGACTCAAGCAACTCGGTTCAAGCCAACGTCCAACACAGATGATGAAATTGCGGCAATTAGCGACTCGGGCGCGGACTGACGAGCCATGATCGCATTTATTACGACCCCTGAGAGGTGATCGCGAGAACCGTCAATTGGAGTACACATGTGGTGCCACGGCAGCAACGTACCGTAAATACAGCAGTTCTTTCGCCTCTATTACCCTTATCTGCGACTGCCTCTGATGATGGGTTCGAGTGAGAATCCGAAAGGTCAGTTCAATAAACTTCTTGTTGTATTGTGGAAATAGGTCAGGACATCTAAAATTAGTGGGCAGTCTTAGGGGATCATTTTAAAAACTGTATATATTATATGGAAATTTAACCAAACATGCTACTAATATTTTGTCAGTAATATGTACATCTTACAAAATATTAGCTAGATTATGCGACTCCAACCCCCTAGTTGCGAAGGATAATGTCCAGCACGAAATAGTATCCATCTGCAATTGGGGAAGGCATATGCAGAGCACTGTTTTTGTGTAACAGATTATTGCCGTTCATTTGGACGATATCTTTTAAGTTCCCTTGGCGTGAACGGGGCTCTTACTTTAGGCGATTCATAGCAAATTAGAACCAAACCCTCACTCACCTGAGGTAACAGGGTTTGAGACAAATTAATGCACAAATTAATGGTTGTCAGGGAAATCAGCAGGACGCCATGTTGCGGCAAATGCAGAATTGTGGTGGGAGAATGCGCAAGATTGTCGTGCAAATGCGGAAACGGGGGACTCGTAAGGAAGCCCAGTTGAAGACTGAGATAAGGCAATAAAAGCCACTACCTAGCGGTCAATTTAAATGGCCGCAGTATCCTGGCCGTGGAAGATTATGAAGCGACCAGAAGAAGAAGAAGAAGAACAGAAGAAGAAGCGATCGCTGGAACAAGGGCTGTATTCGCCTTCGCTTGATGGTCGCATGCAAGTTGTAAATTGTCAAAATGTCACCACCCGTGTTGGATGCTGGCGTGATGATTTTTCGGCCAACTGGCTCACCGGTTTGCGCGCGCCCAAAGTGGTCATTTACTTTGACCAGCCTATGCCTCAGCGCGGAATATGGATTGGGGATTTCGATGCGTTTGTTGATAGACTGAGGTCCACTGAACCATGACTCAAGCTACCCAAACGGTAACCTCCTCTCCTTGTATCGGCTCGCTTGTATCGGAAATTATGAAGCGATGTTCTCATGTGATAAGAATCAGCAAGGTCCTTTGGGTGGCTTAGGTAGGCCAACGATCAGTCTAGACATAGTTCTACGTAAGAGATAACTGAAAAATTAGTTACTGGTTGGAGAAAATGTGGGCCATACGTAGTTAAACCTACGTCAGCAAGAAACTCTCCGGCAATCCATATGGTGGTAACATCCATAAAAACGGCGACTGAGCATGTGGCGGTCAAGGATGTGAGATCAATTTAAAACACGCACAATAAGTTCGTTTCATCTACTGTCAGAAGTCAGGGAGCTGTGAGGACTAGTTTATTCTGTACACAGGGCAGGTTGCCGTAAGTTGGCTGTTTGCTTGCAACAGAGAAAAGCGTCCGTTCACGGAGAGCTTCAGTCGCGATGTGTTGTTTACGCGCATGTGAATATCTGCGCCAGCAGGAGGGGGTGACTGTTTGGGTGGTGGTCGTGTGGTTGGACAATTTAGGGGAGAAACGGAGGGCGCATACTAACAAAGCCTCACGGAAATCAAGCCGGAGCGTTCGAAGCGCGTTAGTGATACTAGTTTGTGAGGGCAGCCGGAGTCACTGCAGCTGGACAGGAGGGGCCCCAGTTCTAGCCGGTGTGGGTCTTCGTGTGTCAGCGGCCTGTCAGTGCTTGTCGCGGCCATCGACCGACAAAACGGAGCCGGAGAAAAGGGGGCTGGAGCGACTGCTACAACCCCCCGCCCCAGACACCAAACGAAGTGAAGGCGTCGACATGCTAGCCAGCCACAAACCTGTCGGGCCAGTGCACGTGACGACCAGATCGTGTTCGGCGAACCGGAGGGGGACTGTGGCCAGTAGGTGAGGGCATCAATGTTTGCGGCGGGGTACAGTGTTGGGGTGAAGAATGGTCACTTTCGTCGATGTAGGCCGGCTTGACGCGATCAATGCTGACTGTGTCGGTCTTGCCGTGGCGGACGATGACAACATCTTTGTCAGATCGACGAAGGACTTTATACGGCCCGTCATAGGGTGTTTGGAGTGGTCGTCGGACAGCGTCATGCCGAACCAAGACGAAATCGCACTTATTTAGGTCGGGAGGGATGAAGGAATTGGCCGGTGACGCCCAAGGGGGCGTTGCGCGGAGATTTCGCATGACACTACGCAGCTGCTCCACATAACTGCAAGATTCGAAAAACGTTAACCCGACAACTGAGCACTTCGACTCGCACAGGAGTGCGTAATGGTTTCCGAGCAATACTAGAGGCTGGGACTGAGGACTTTATCTGGCCTAAAATGTTCGGTGAGAGTGTGAGAGGCTTTTGCGCGTATGTGAGAATATCCGAGGGGGTGCTATGGCCCATTCAAATGTCTGAACTCAAATTCCTGACACCGCAGTCATATTTTCAACGAACGTTGTGCTTGGGCAATGATAGAGAGCAAATAGTTGCAAAATGAGGATGTTTTGGGCATGCGTTTAACTTACGTAGGAGAATAAGGCGTTGTTGTACAATCAGATACGGGCCTATGGCAAACTACAGTGCGTTATTTTACTTATGAAATGTGTGGAAATTTACGAATGATTGCCAATAACTCGCAAATTTGTCACGATTTCACCAGTTCAATTTATATGTTAGTTAAGTGCACGTTAAAAAGAATTAAAAACATGAAATAAATATTAAGGGCTGTGTTTCGTTGTTTAGAAATGCCGATTTCTTTAAAAAAACGCAATAGACCGAAATCGTTATAAATAACTCTCATTTAGTAAACTTCGCTTTTAGGTGCATATAATGTATTCTCATACCAAAACCCTACTGAATATGAAAGTACAGATAAAATAAATTTTGATAATAGTGTTTCAATGAAGTACAAATCTCAATATCGTTTGAGAATTAGCGTGATTTCATATATGCCGGTTTGTAAACAGGCTAAATTCCGAGTATAGATTTCAAAACAGTTTTCCAGGGATTCGTAATATTCTTGACTCGATAAAAATCGGGAGATGAAACTTAAAAATACGGCCCACCAAAGCAGCCTGTCGTACGGTTAGATTACCGTAGAATGCTCTCACAAAGTCGACGTAGACTGCGTGCACTGCATTGCCACCATCGACTGCCCGAGTCTACCGTTCTAAACAATAAAGTAGGTTTGTCACGCCATTACGAAATCCGTGCTGGGCATCGCATAGCAGATTATGCTGTTCAAGAAGCGCATTATTCCTAGCTCAATTATTTTCTCCATAATCATGCAGCAAATATAAGTAAGGCTGATTGGTCTACAATTTTTTTGCCAAGACCTTGCTTCCGACTTTATAAATTGGAGTGATCCGGACAGATTTCCAATTGGCGGCAAATAGTCTACTTCTAACAAAGCCCGGAAGATCACGGACAACTGTTTAGATAGTCACCGATACAAGCGAAGATGCGAGTTCCAGAAACTAGTTGATCAGAAGGAGAAGCGGTCGCTGGAACAAGGTCTTTATTCGCCTGAAGTTTCGGATTGTCACTTGAATCCATCATCAGAGACAGTAGCAGAAAAGGGTGACTCGTGCACAGGAAGATACAGTATTTATAGGATGCAGTCGCTATGTTAGTGCATACCTATAGCATAGCATATTTACTTTTTTTAAAGTTTGTGTTAGCAACGGGGGTCTCCTGTTAAGTTTTTTCCGTGAAATATGGTACCAATCTCTGAGGAGAACGCGCAATAGCTCACTTAACCGTCCCAATCCTTGATTATGTAATCGGAAAAAGCTGATTCCCAATTTATGATGTTTAGTTCACCTTTCATTTGGCCAAAGTTACCGCGTCAAATGTTTCTTCTAACCATGGTGGCCTTTCTCTTGAACTTTTTTCAAGCTCGCCCTCACCCGATATTCTTTGGAGCAGCATCGAATTTTCCGTTACCAGACGGGACCTATCTCATACTTTTCCAGTTTATATTCATGTTTGTTTACGGCACAATTCACGTAAACATCAACTTTTGATCAGCATCTTTACACAGCGTAGGAGATTATCTGGATATCAAGAAACGTCAGATTTAGCTCAAATCAGGCATCTTTTCCTTCAATAAAACAGACTTTGAATGTACCTTTCCTCAGTAAATGGCTTTCTGTTACTCGGCTCACTTTAATAAACATCAATAAGTACGCCAAATGCACGATATACTTTTCGCTCAAATTTCGACCACGACATTCCATGAGTCAGGCCACCTACGGACATTGTGAAGGAAATTCAAAGGGCTGCATTATTGTGCTGTGCAGAGGTCTCTGAGATAACGCGCCAGCCGCTGATAGATATAACCCCTTAATCTGCTGTAGGTGCAAGCGTTTGCGTTATAGCTAGCTTTGACCTGACAGATCTGTTCTTTTGTGTGTATGCAGAGACGTTGTCTCTGCAAGGTCGCTACAATGTACGCTTTTGGAGATCAGCCAATCTGACCCTATCTGAGCGTCGAATTGAAAAATATCTGTTGACAGTTTCAATACCCTTCCCGCGTTTGCTAGCGGAGTACGCAGTCCGAAACACGCACTTAGACACGCGCATTTACATCCCAACATAACGTTTAGTACATGATCGAACAACCTGCCGGATATCGTCGGACGCGCTGCTCAACGCTTATTTCAAGTATGATCAAAATCAAGTTGGTTATACTATACGGGGTCGGAGTGGTGACGTTCTTGGTCCTCCTATTTATCACCTACGAAGCTGACCAATTTTTAATCAACAACGTGGCTCAGAAGGCCTTCAACGGCAGTTCAAACCTGTCTAGATTGACACCACTTTCTGATGTCGAAACGGCCGAGTGGGCCCTACACAAACCGCCGGCTGCCTTCCCAATTTGCTCGTACCAGGAACCCTTCGACCTCTCGTTCTGCCTTCCAACCAGTGAGAACAGTAGTGGGGAAACCGTGGAAGGGAAGTGCCATCCAGAAAAGCAATTATTTCCCACTCGTGGCAACAGATGCATTTCCTATGATATGCTTCAGACAATGCCTGACAGCGTTTTATCCACGGCCCGTCGTCCAGCCATATACTCGGTCTACCCACAGGATATTCCCCTTCCGATAGTTGTACAAGCCGTCAAAAACAACAGGCCAATCCCAGTGGTATTTACCTTATTTGCTAAAATGCAGTACATTAGTATCATACTATTTTACCGATATATGTATATATAGAGTAGGTAAGCTAACTCATGAAAAGTCAAAGGAAAATACGAAATGCGTTTTGATTTCGATAAGATTAAATAAACAGGGTTGTAAAGCTAATCGTGAGGCATCGTAATTATATAAAAAAACTTCGTTTCGGCTGCATCCAAAATTATACTCCGTAAAAAATCCTCTTTAATTAGCATGCATTTTTCTTACCGATTTTCGAGTATCTTAAATATCTGACTATTTTACATATCCATCGTATGTAAAACTACTCATTATTTTGCTCAATTGGTAGACGGTTACGCCTTCTGCCAATTTTATAGTCGAAAGAATGGTATAATTCGCTTTTTACAAACTTTTTCAATGTCCGAGTAATTTTTAACCCGACCTGCTGTTACTCTTGGATCCAGGATTTCTCAACTGCATGCCGTACACTTCTCTGCGGCAAGAAGAGGAGACTATATGGGGTTAATAAAATAAAGTAGCGAATTAGAGCCATATCGTTAACTTTACAAGCAACATTGGTAAGTGCAGAGAAATGACGTTTTACCAACGGCCATTTCACGGTATTAAAAAGTTCCTAATTAGAAACTTTTTAAACTCGAATTATACCCTTTCCTTCGAGCAAATAATTTAAAGATGTACTTTTCTGACAAATGAACAAAAAAAGAATAGGTTTACGCATGTTTCTCATGAAACATATTTGAATGTTTAAAAGCATTCAAAATCAGCGAGAAAAATGCACGATTTGAAGTGGTCATTTTTACGGAGTATCGTTTTAGCATTTAGCGGGAAAGACGTTCGTTTGAAAGCCGTCATCCTAAGGAAACTGGATTATTATGGAATCACGCTGCAGGCTGACCAGTATTACAACCATGTTTAATCAATCTTTTTGAAACTAAAACGCATTTGCAAATTTGAGTTGACGTTTCATGAGTTAGCCCACCTACTGTTTGTCAGGAGTACGGTATAATACCTCCGCTATATATATGCAGAATGGTATTGCCGAAAAAGACAAGGCGACTGGAATGGCCATTTCTGGTTTATTGGCCGTCGTCAGCCAGCTACCCAAGCCCGAAGTGTGGAACACCCGAGCCTCGAACTCGCGACCTGTTGGTTTAGAAGTCAACACCTCTACTCACCGGGCCACGAGCCCGTTGCCTTGTCGGTTTTCGATCGGGAATATACAATGTTAGGGGGCGCTCACCGATCGTTCATACGGAACTCACTCGTTCCGTTGTGCCTTATGGACACTTTCTCGAGCCCAATCAGCAGCCGCACAGCGGCGCATGATATATAGGCAGAATGGTATTGCCGACCAAGACAAGGGAAACTGGAATGGCCCGGTGAGTAGAAGTGTTGACTTCTAAACCAACAGGTCGCGAGTTCGAGGCTCGGGGGTTCCACACTTCGGGCTTGGGTATGGCTGGCTGACGACGGCTAATAAGCCAGAAATGGCCATTCCAGTCTTCCTTGTCTTTTTCGGCAATACCATCCCGCCTATCTATCATGCGCCGCTGTGCGCCTGCTGGTTGGGCTCGAGAGAGAGTCCATAAAGCACAACGGAACGAGTGAGTTCCGTATGAACGGTCGGAGAGCGCCCCCTAACATTATATATATATATGCAGAATGGTATTACCAACAAAGCCAAGGGTGACTGTAATGGCCATTTCTGGCTTACTAGCCGTTTTCAGCCAGTCATACCCAACCCCGAGGTGTGGAACACTTGAGGCTCGAAATCGCGACCTGTCCACGCCTCTAATTACTGGGCTACGAGCCCATTGCCCTATGTGTGCGTTTGTGTTCGTGCGTGTATCGCATACATTTATACTTTATGCATACGTAAGTGAATCGATTTCGAGGCGCGCAGACTTGAAATAAACAAACAACGCTTTTGCAGAAAATGTGCCAGAATATATCCTCCGCAATGTTGGAAATGGTGTATTTTTAGATGAAATCCTCATCGCAGCACCACAGCGCATACCATTGTGATAATTGTTGTGGCGTAGAATTAAAATTTTCAGTTGTGTACTGATTAGAAGCCCTTTTCAGCCCGCCTAAACGCAACTACTCCTCTTGAAATAAATATTTTTTTCGTTTAGCGCCCATAGGGTACTTCCATGGCTACGAACATGTTATTTATTACGAGTTTATAACGGACTGCGAAATCATGTCACTCGCTACATTTTGAATGCGTTCACATAGGAATACGTGTGGACAGGTAATTGGGTCCCAATCCAACCTTTTACAATGGCAATTTCAATAGAGACTTTCATGAATAGAATCGAATACTCTTCCAGTAGCCACACCATAGGCCCAGTGTGTATCCAAAGATACATTCTTGTTATCTGTAGGCGCACATTTTAAACCTTAAAAGTACGAAAGGCCACGTGATCCCTTTTGAGGCAATTGTTTCATTGGCTGAGAGGTATATAAACGAATGAGCGAAATTTCTCTTTCAAGTCAATAGATATTGCGCAGCAAGCAACCTCTGACTAAGTCTCGTCTTAATCCCCATTCGCATGCACAACCTTCTAGCATGACCGCATGGAAAATTTACATCCGTCACACGGCTGCTTTGCAAATGAGTTAAGTGTCGTTTGCGGCGACTCAGGATCTAGAGCAAATCGCACGCTTAGGTTTGCTTCTACGTAGATATGCAAACGGGCCGCGAGCAAGGCCGCACATGAAGCAATCGTATTGCTAAACAAATATGTCAAACGCCCCTCCCCCTGCGTATGCTATACTGTACTGTTATGCGGAAAGAGGTAGCCCGTCAGAGGAGGATGCGATGCCTAAGACAGCAAGTTTACTGGCCCATCCTCAGGCGACAAAAACATGTAAGGGTTGCAGAGGCACAAAGACTGCAGCATTAATAGTACGCAGCCCCCTTGACACGAAATGCCTACTATACTTAATACCTCTCGCGATCACCGCCGTAAAGCATGCGATCGTCTCACATTATGTGTTCAAGGGCGAATCCAGAGCGTCAGGCCAGCAGACCTTTTGTTCCAGTGATCGTATCTTCGTGTTCGCACTGCCTGCTTGAACTCGCTTGTTCGCATCTACCGGCAAGGCAACCCATGCTAGTGCTCGAAGGGCGCTAACAGGAACTTTACAGTCCTGTCAGGAGGCTGAAGTTGATATTACTTTATTCAGTCACGATTTGGCCCATATATCCTGTTGAATTTTCAGTAATTTCTCCAATGAACCGCGAATATCACCCCAGGAAGAGAATGCGCAATCGCTCGTAGAAGTTGAGTCTCGTTTATTAATCCTAAAAGAGGACATACTAAGATGCATATCTTCTCATTAATTTGCTGGGGACTCCTACGTTCCTTTCAATGGGTCATAAACCTTCTAAGATAACTAAGGACTATTTCCTAAATCTGAAAAAACCCAGTAAGACAGGCGGCTGACCAGGTTTAGTGGTCGAAAATGGTGGTCAGGGCCTCCATTTACAACAAGCAGCTATAATCAAGGGAGGTACGCATTTCTTTGTCTTAATTACAACATCGACACGCCCCGGGGACAAATATTTCACTGTTTAACCTTTTTATTGAATGTATGCGTGAGAAGCCTAACACAGGCGTGGCTCGAATAGGTAAAGTTCAAACAATGCCGGCGATTACGCCCCCACAAATCGCCAGACGTCGTTTTTGTGCTTCTCATTCCAGTGCAAAGCGTGGGTGTGTGTTGAAAGACATCGAGAGGCAGATGTTGCTTATGTCACCGCCGCCATCTCGAAACGACCGCTATTCGGTTTGACCTTGAAGACGAAGTTGACACAAAACTCAGGATTTCCACCCACTCTGGACTCGATCCTTATGCATTGGCAATTCTCAAGCCTTGCCATTGCAGCCGCGGGTAAGAATTCAACAGAGACTGCCAAATTTTCGCAGCAACATATCAGTTTGGATAGATACGACTCTGGTAAGCGCATATATTTACAAAATCAAAAAAATCGAATTTATTTCACGATAGAAAATAAAGTTATCACGGATAACGAGAGATGGCAATGGGAATAAGTACCTGTGAATACGGGATCGGGAGATTTCTGAAGCAACAGCGCAAAACTCAAGCCGTCTCCACTTAATTTCACTTAGACCTATTAAGGAGTGGTTTTTTTTCATTAACCTGTTAGTCAGCGACTCATACAGTGGGTGGGTTAAGTCATGAAATGTCAACAGAAATTCCGAAATTCGTTTTCATCTCGACAAGATTAATTATTCAGGATTGTAAAACTAATCCTCTTACAGCATAAATCTATAATAAGTCAGTTACCTCAGCACGCCGGCTTTCGCACAAAGGTTTTTTCGGCAGCATCCCAACACCATTCCCTGCAAAAATTGAATACTTATTAGCATGCATTTTTCAGTGATTTTCGTTGCTCCTGATGATTCAAATGTATTTCATGGAAATCATGCATAAAGGTCATCATTATTTTGCTCATTCAGTTCAAAAGTACGTCTTCTTTCAGTTTTATGCCCGAAGGAAGGGTATAATTCGGTTTTAAAAAGTTTTCAATTGTGAGATTTTTTAATACCGTGAAATGACCCTTCAAAAAGTGTAATGTCTCTGTATTCAACAGTGTGGCTTGCAAATTTGAAAATGTCGCCAAATCCTCTGCTTTATTTTCTAAACCCCATATGGTACCATCTTCATACGGCAAAGAACTGTATGGTTTATCGAACGCAGTCATTTTACGGTTTGTGGTTTGGGAACCCAGAATGAAAGTGGGTGGGGTTCAAAATTATTCGGGAATTGGAAAATTTCTACAAAACCAGATTATACCCTTCCTTCGAATGTAAAAGTAGAAGGCCTAAAACGTAATTTTTCACAAAATAAGTCCAAGAATGGATATTTTTATGTATGTTTTCTATGAAATATACTAATTTCATTAAGAGCATCAAAAGTCACCGTAAAAGGCATGCTATATGAGTAGACACTTTTTTTACTGAGTGAGATATTTGAATGCAGCCGAAAAGAAGTTTCTTCGAAAGCCGGCATGATCTACGGCGGTGATCGCGAGAGGACTTGAGAACAGTACGCATATGGTGCCAAGGCGGTTGCGTACTATTAATACTTAGTCTTTGTGCCTCCGAAACCCTTGCCTGTGTTTTTTGCCCCCGAGAATGGGTTCAAGAAGTCAGACAAGTAGAATTGCTGTCTTAGGCATCACATCTTTCTCTGATGGGCTGCCTTTTTTCGCATAACTGTGCAACACAACATACGCGAGGGGAGGGGCTTTTGACATATCTGTTTAGCAATACGAAGGGTGATTTATATCAGGTTTCAGGAAGTCACAAAACTGGGAAACTTGTTACTATGCAATTCCCTGTTTGTCCTCCGACTTGGAGTTGAAGTGCAAGTGAAGATAAATGTGGTGAAATATATTTTTCTAGATTGCCGCATATTCTTTCATGTATGCTAAAGACCACTGCCGCATTTCAAGCCGTATTTGTCAGAGGTACATGCAAGGAGAGGTTAAAATTTTGCGACGGAAATTTGGTGCAGCTAAGCTTAAATTAATCGGACCGGGTTGATAATCTGAGGAAAACAAAGTGCTCACTGAAGTGCTTCTTCAACGGATAGAACACTTGATGGTCACCAATTATCAATCAAAGCTGTGGGCTCGTTACGTCGATGACACCGTTGCCATTGTCAAATCATCCGACGTGAAGTCCCTCAAAGAATTACGGAACTCGGTTGACCCCAATATTCAATTCAAGATGGAAGCTGAAACAAACAATCAACATCCATTACTCGATATACTTGTGCGTCGGTGTGGAACTGGGCAATCACAAATTACCGTTTTAAGAAAAGCCATCAACAAAGACAAATACTACGTCTCAACAGCAATCGCCCCCTCTCTCACAAACGCAGCCGTGTCCGTACTCTATTTCAAATAAGTGAAATACACCAGCCGACAAAACAGTTGCATGACAATACGTTCATGAACTCTTTCGAACCAATGGATACCCAAGCTACTTCATCAAGCAAAGCAAGTGCCGATCCAACAGACGACGGCCACAAAAAGAACAACCCGAAGTCTGAAGGACTACTCCTTACATGAAAGTAGTCTCCGAGGCGGTTTCATGACTGTTATAACCCGCCAGGTTAGGCATTGCCCATCGTCGTCGTTTGATGCATCCTAAACACATGCTGCCACCCACAGAAACTTCAGCAATTGTCTATCAAATACGTTGTAACGAAGGAGACTGCAACTACGTTGGAGAAACTAGACGGAAATTGCAACCGTCTACATAAGCACAAACTGGCAACTCGGAGACTAGACTCAAACTCATAGTTTGGCGACTTACGTCAGGGAAACTGGTCACAATTTGGATTTTCAAGGAACAGCCCTCTTAGGCTGGAGCACTTTAAGGGCAGGGCGTCTTACACTTGAGGCATAGTACTCAGATGCCGACTCTATCAACATGCATCTAGACTTTCATTCAGCCTATAAATTCTTACGTCATTACCCACGCCTTGACGAAGACAAAACGCTCATACGGAGCCTAAGACTACCGAGCAAACGCGGCCTGTCGACCAATGCGTCCAAAAGGGGGACGCAAACGCAAGTAACTCCAGTTGAGGTGACGATGCACAATAGAGGAGACCACCAACACTTACAGGCGACGACCGGTAGGCCAAGGCAGCGAAAAAAGAACAAAAGTCGACCAGCCCAGCGCCAAATAATTCGGATGTCCATTAAAAATTCTGATCGATTTTTCACTATATGCTTTAATAATGGAAAGCCGCCCCAGGTCTTCGAAACGTCAGCCATGCAAGTCTCTCCATTTTTTCAGGCTTACCAATGTCAGGGCCTAATTTTTATGTTGGCGTGTGACACACAACGGGAAAGTTATGTGCCCGAAAACTCACGCCTGCCAGAGGACATTACTTTTGACTTAAAGAGGATTTTTCTGGTCAATGGGTAGGAATCGAATACGCGTCTGGTGTTAGAATTTCGACTTGAATTTAGCATTTCGGGTCAGCAGTTTGGTATGCTGGACGTAAATCAGGGGCGTTAACGAGTGAAGACTGCTCCTTCATTCTTCGCCGAAGGCCATATTGGCCACAAACTCTCTTCAACGGCGCGTAGAGGTTTCACAACATGTCAGATTTTACGCACTGGACGCATTGTTCAGTTGTGACTTATGTTCAGATCGAGTGTTCAGGTTATTCCACCAACTCGATAAGTGTTGAAAACTACTCTGGTAAAGACATACATGTGCACTGAGAAAAGTAAACTAAGGTCTCTACTTTCCATTTTGTCCTGGGTTTGGTTATTTTCGTTATTTCAAGTTGGTTTACGATGAAAAGCGAACGCCAAATTAATTTTCTCGACTCCGTTTTCACCGAGGTTCTTAACCAGCCTATTTGCGGTGTGGCCATTAAGCTGAAGACAAATGAAGGCTTTGCGCTGCCACATATACTGACAAAATGAAAGTCTTCGGGAGAATTCTTTTCCTCCAACTACTGCTCTGCTAATTCGCAAGATGCTTCATATGTTTGTGTGTGTGTTTCTTGAATGCGCCCGTTATCAAATGCGTGGCCGTGGTCTGTCAACATTTATAAGACGACACAGTTCTTCATAGATTCAGATATGTACCTTCTGCTGCTCTGGGAGGCATGGACTATATTGGTGTGGTTTATACAACAGTTTCTGCACAGAGGATAGATGGTGTCTTTTTGGTTTCGTTTTCCTGTTATTTAAGGAGCAAACTGCTGGCACCAACAGGGGAAGAGCCTCACTTAAGCGTTAGACTTATTTTAAATTGTACCATTATTATAGTTCGGATATGACTAACTCCTGTTGTTGTATATTTTGTTCCCAACAGCGTCCTTGAACTTATAATCTGTGCCTGTTAACCATAATAAAATTCAACGTTTAATATTTAGTTTTCACTTCCAGCATCCTGGATTAGAAGACAACACCTCCCACGAACGACTTTTCAATGAAACTTTACACGTCTTACGTATTCAACTGCCATTTTTTTAGGGCAGCAAAGAGTTTTGCCTGGCGTAACCATGGTAGGTTAGCCGTTAACGTACGTTTGTAATTACTTCCTCATCAAGGAAAATTTCCCCCTCCCACTAGCACCGACGTACTGCCTCGACAATCTTGACCACAGAGTGATCTTTCATCTGCAAGTTCACTTTTCCGAAAAAAATTTATCCCTATCCTTCTTCTGCCTGATCTTCTAATCTTACTTGCCGACAACTATTAGCCCGACTTTAAGAAGGAGTACTTTTGCTTTTAAAAGGTGTCCGATCAGGCGATGTTTTGAGATCGTGAAAGTTCTACCCCTAAATCATGCTTTCCGTCCTTTTATTAATGCTGCTTGTAAGGCATACAACATGGCCTCATACCACTGCAAAATTTAACCAGCCCTAAACGATATCTTATCATCATATATAAATATGTGATTTTTCCCGCAGATGAAATAAGGACTTTGTAATTTGGAAACCATGAATGCAAGTGTAACGTCAGATTGGGTTCAAATATTTCGGAGACTGTACAGTTGTCTAAATCCGAAATATGCACTACCTTTAAGTATCAAATTTAAAGAGCACGCAATTTTCGGCCAAATGGACAAAGAAATGAATATTTTCGCGCAGTTTTCCTAAATATATTTAAATCTATAAGCACATCGAGAACAAATTGGAAAAGTTCATACGACGTTAAGTGGATGTGTTAACTCATAAAATGTAAATCGAATTTTGGAGGAAGTTTATTTAACTCGAAAAAAATAACTTAAATATGATTATAATATTGGTCGCCATGCAAAATAATCCCATAATAATTTAGTTTCTTCGGGATTCCGGTTTTAAATGAACAATCATCCGGTCGCCTGCAAAAAACAATCTGCTAATATTGGCTACTTATTTAGTATGAATTTCTCGCGTTGGTTTTCAATGGCGAAATAAATTCAAATATTTTTCATTAAAAGTATGCATTAAAATATTCATGCTTTTACTCCTTTGGTAGTAAAATACGTCCTCTACTAAGACTATACTTATACTACGGGTATAACTCGCCTTTGAAAATCTTCCATTCTCGATTAAGTTTGAAGCGCATTCGCCGTTCCCTTTGAATTCGGGGTAGCAAAACTTAAAGCTATATATTTTCTTTGTACGGAAAATCAAATATTTCCCCACAATATTGGGAGAAGACTATATGTGGTTAATGAAATCTGACAGTGGATAAGAGCCAAACTATAAACTCTACAAGCAAAATTAGTAAATACAGAGAACAACATTTCATGGTCTGAAAAATCTCATAGTTCGAAACTTTTTGAAACTACATTACACGATTACTTTAAGAAAAAAAATAAAAGACGTAATTTTTCAAAAAATGAGGATTCCTTTACATGCTTTCCAGGAAATATAATCGGATTTATAAGAACATCGAAAGTCGGTAGGAAAAGTTCGTACTTAATAAATAGTCGGTTTTTGCAGAAAGCAATTTTTGCAGGCGGTTGCGAAAAAGTTTGTTCAAAAGCCGAAATTCTGTGGTAATTAAAGTAATAAGAAATGATATCGCAAGGCAATTATTATTACAACATTGCTTAAGCAATCTTTGCGGATCGAAAACGTATTTCACAATTTCGGTTAGCACACCTACTGTAAGCAGTCGTGAATTTTTTGCAAGAAAATCCTTCATAAACCGACATTCTGATGTGAGTGATGAATCCTGCTATTATGCCGCGCGACTTTTAGTCTTATGACCCTACTTAAGTAATTTTTTCTTATCAAAGATACGTTTCGGGTTTTCGGTTAACGTTAATGAGAGAGCACATCTACTGTACCAACATCATGTGTTCTTTAGGGTGGGTAAAAGTAAATTTTGGCGTGGATTTTTAAACCCACTACCACACATTTTCAGGCCCCTTTCAATAACCCCAAACTTGCACTGCTACGCACAAGTCAGTCTATCTGCCCTCTCACCGGAAATCAGAGTCGCGCACGGTACGACCTAATCATCATTGTTAAGAGTTCACCAGACAATGCAGCACGCCGGTCTCAACTGCGCCAGCTGATCAGCCGTCAAGCGGCCACGCTGGCCAGTCCTGTCGGGCTCCTCTTCAGCCTAGGCGTCCCGGCCGACACCGTCAGCCAATCACGACTCCTGCATGCCATCAACGATGAGGCCGACCGTTTTGATGACATCCTCCTGACCGACTTCATGGACACCTACTATAATCTGACTCTGAAGACTCTGGCGAACCTGCGATATGCTCATGTGGCCTGTCAGGGAGCCGCTCCGCTGGTCGCCTTCATGGATGATGACCATGGCCTCAATTTGTCAGCTTTGCTCCCCTATTTTCGCGCCTTCGATGAGCGACAGCTGCGGCAATCTGTATTCGGCCACATACACGGCACGCCAAAGGTCATTCGCAGTCCAGAGCACAAGTGGGCTCTTACGAGAGGCGATATGCCCTTCTATATGTATCCGGACTACGCCGCTGGTCCATGCTACTTTATCGGCGCGGAGGCTGTGGAAGCAATTTCGATAGCCGCAGTCTTCACCAAGCCGTTCTCCATGGAGGACGCCTATGTGGGCATGACAGCGACGAAGCTGGGCATCCACATGCACCAGTTGCCAGGTGTATACCTTCATGGACCTAGAAAAGGATTACTATTACAACAGACGCCACTAGTAGCCTTGTTGAAATACTTCGAGCAGCATACGCCTTAGAACTACATGTAGTATTTATATATATAACCCGTTTAGTGGCTTTATCAAATGTACGCCTGTTTTAAAACACTAACGGGGATGATGCCATTTGTTTTTGTTAAGCATCAGTGTGCTCGGTAAAGTGTTGGAAAGTCCGCGGTTTCTGAGACCATCGAGAGGGATTTGTAAAATTAAAAAGAAATTTATAAAAGAATACATCTACTCTCGATAAGTTCTTTTCAGTCCTGTGCATTGATATGGCTATTGGAAAGCAAATCAAAAGATGCAGGACAGTAGATAATTATGCTGTTTCTCGGGTTTGAGGGGGATGGAGGGGAGTGAAGCACCAAAATACCAGTGATTCTCATTGTACGCCAGGCGTCAGGAATCTTGGACGCCATGAAAGACATATTACTTAGGTGCGCTAAAATAGGGGCTATCTGAGAACTACAAGATTTAAGAAAAAAAGGCGAGACACCATCCGGTCCGGCAGCTGTTGATCCACGGACCTGTTTAGGGTGTTTCTATACTGTTGCCAAAGACACGGGTTGGAATTTACACGGTGATAGGGGAATGTCATCTAAGGGAAGATGGGAGTCATTGTGCCTAAATATAAAATTTTTGTTTAGGGAGTCTTAATCTGCATCCACATGCACCTGTGTGTTGCTATGGCCTGTGAGACGCTTAAGGGTTTTCCAAATCTCAGATGAAGAAGGGGGAAAAGTGGGTGGAAAGGATGAAGAGGAAAAAGGTTGGCTAACAAACAGTCTATTTAGCCTGTCAATATCTGTTTTTATTAAAACTGTAACGTCCTCAAGGCTGTCACTTTAGCCTAGCTTGTAAAAGAGTTCTTTATTACGTCTTAACAATTTCAGACAGGGGGAGGCAATTATATCCGGTCGTATCATTACAGTATCAAGAGGGCAGCAAATATCGAAATTTTATTTAAAAACGCTGTTAGGTTAGAAAAACAGGATTCAACATTCGATTGTTCAAGGAAAGTGGGGATAGTAAGAGAAATGCAAGTCGGAAGCAGGATAATGTTTTGTGCGGACTTGTTACGAATATTAACCTACCTCTCAGGCTTGACTAGTTGTGCACGTTTAGAAGCGGAATAGATCCTTGGAAGACACAATAAAGCGAACTGATCAGAAACTGGCAATGGAGCTTTATTTTAACGCAAAATGCTTGCTGTGGTTAGACAGAATATGATCAAGAGGGGCATCTGCGCGTGCATTAAAGGAGACAAGATCATCGAAGGCTAACAGTGTTAGAGGACGTAAATTAACGCGACTAAAATCACCGCATAAGATAATAAGATATTCGCAGTATAATATAGCAAGTTTTTGTGAAAGAAAGTCGAAAAAACGGATAACTGCACCTTCACAGGAAGAGGGGAACATTTAAATACTAACAAATATAATGCCATTATAATTAGCGACACTGAACTACTATTTTCTATGTAAGCGCATTGCTGAATTATTTCGGCCAATTTTACGAAAGATCAGAGGCAAAACTCGCTATTGGAATTGAGTCAAAACTTTGAATTAAACCTAAGGCACTGCTAAGTGCTGTCTGTCGACTTCGGCAAATGACACGATAAACAGGATAAATCTAGCTCATTTTGGCCTTCATTTACCGATTGTGTCCAGACATAAGCGAAATTGAACTTACTGCCCCTCCAGTCAGCTTTGTGGTGGGCCCCACGGAGTAGACTTGCGCGATTATACTTAAACGGGCATAATGATTTGCGGTAACACTAGGGTAAAGGGCCCCATTTAACCGTCAGGATACTGTGGATCCTGTCATATGGGGTTTTTTCCTGGCATCCATTTGTAGGCATTTGGCTGACATCAAACTGCCATCAACGATTACTATTCATGACCGCAAACCATTACTCAAATTCCTTCATTTTGGAAAATTTTTTTTTGTTTACTTCTTAACTAACACACTCATTTGGCGTGTCATGCGAAAGCGTACAATAAGACTTTCGGCGGAACTCCAGACAACTTCTGTGTCTTCTTGCATTTCGTCAGCTTACTGTCGGCCTTGCTGCCCTTCCCGTAAAACGCTCATTACCACCGCTTTCTTTTGCCAGAATTCACAGACTGCCGACAGTTCAGTGGGCTCCTTCACTCCAGAAATGCCGCCTTTTCATAAGCGGAAAAAGTCCAACTTGTAATCTGAAGACCCGGCAATGGTATGGGTTGTACCTGGTATCAGCAACAGATAGCTCGAGGACCCTGTCTAACGGGAACGGTGGGGCTTATACAGGTGGGGCATTTTGATGCACGCAAACGTAATTCGATAAAAAGTGAGAAAGCAAGTAAAATAGCATCGAAAGCCTTCCTATGTGCTTAGAAGGAAAGCAACGAGTAGGCGCAAAAATTCGAAAACCTAACCAGAAACTGTAGTCAAGGAAATTTGGGCGCTTGAATTAACCGTCGTCAGCTGAATAAATAAAGGTCGGGTTCCAAGAGGACTAGCAGCCAATGGGAATTGGCCGCGAGCGTTAATCGAAAGTGCAAATAACGCAAATCGTGAGCTATACCAGGAGACGCAATAACTGTCAGTAATTTGGAAAAAAATGAAAAACGTAGAATACGAAGGAGGTATAACAATGTAAGCTAAATAAGTGTAAGAAATAATAAAATAAAATGACAAGACTGGTAACGTAAAGAAGCAGAGGCAGCATGTTATTACCGACAAAGGCAAGGAAGACTGGAATGGGCATTTCTGCCTTACTAGCCGTCGTCAGCCATTCATACCCAACACCGAAGTGTGGAATACACGAGGCTCGAACTGGCGACTTGTTGGTTTGACGTCCGCGCCTCTAACCGCTGGGCCGCGAGCCAGTTGTCCGGTCGGTTTCTACCGGGAATATAAAATGGTAGGGGGCGCTCACCGATCGTTCTTACGGAACTCAATCGTTCCGTCTTTGTCGATAAGGACATTCTGCCTATATCATGCGCCGCTATGCGGCTGCTGGTTGGCCTCGAGAGAAAGCCCGTAAAGTACAACGGAACGGGCTCACGCAGCATTTATCCCACCCCCGCTTCTTGCTCATCAGCCTCTGTTGGCAAGAAAGTGTCGTGTCAACCGGAGGTGGGCTTGATGCAGAGACTGAGAAAGTCAAAATGCTAGTCTACACGTGTTTCACGACCATGTCGCCGCATAATCTGTTCGCAGGTAGTACCGGCTTGGATAGTGCGCCCGTGGGAGTGCAATAGGGACTGCATTAGGCGGCGGCCACAATCCGTCAACCAGTCACTCCACATACGCATAATATACGACTTACACATACTGCGTTCTCATCTCAGTTGGCAGCGTTTCGGAGTTATAATTAGTGAAGAATTCGCTGATTGGCAATGGGAGTGGATTACCACCGTCGGCCTCAATCTCCCTTCAGTCTTCCACGCTCAGGTCGACTATCCGGTCTGATTATGATGAAGATGAGTGGCTGTCCGTACAAAGAGTCCGCTTCTCTGCTTACACAAACACTGTAACGAAAGACACCAGGATATCTCAAGTCCCGTTTTCATTAAGCCGACGCATGTCATCGTTTAGTCACTTTGACGTCCTTTGTGTTGTTAGAACTGCACTGTCTTGATGGAAGCATAGGTCATCATCACTGTGGTCGGATAAAACCTCTGACAGGTTGACGGTTTTCCCCTGCGCCGATGCCAACTCCAGCAGACATCTGCACCTCCCCGCAGATCACAAATTCCAACGTCATCACGCAAGTGGAGCTCAGGACCAAGAAACCACGATGGTCTTAAGAAGGCCCTATATAGACAGGCCAACGCAGGCCGAGTCCGCAGGAGGAAAGGAAAATCGATCAGCATGAGATCGACCAATGCGACATGTCACTTGAAATTTCTAGTCCTTTAAGTGCAATTTTCGCCTTGCCAAAGGGAACACACGAAATTTTTTTGAAACGTCAACATTTAAATAAGCCTGTTTCGTGAGCAGTCTCATTCAAATCATCAACCCGGATCTCTCTACTTTGCCAATCTGAATAGAAAAAACAGCCTGCCGCACCCTTGAAAGCCTCACATTGTAAAAAACTTTTCCCGTAAACAAATATGTTAACGCCGAATTTCAATCCTGGGTTTAGGAGAAAAGCTGTTATGATGCATCCTTTCTACAAAAGGTTTTTTGACTGTAAGAAGTCTTAAAAAGGGGAAAATCTTTGTATCGAATTGTTGGCAAAAACATAGTTCACTAGTTTCATCCGACAGATCAATCTTCGAAAGGTATATTGTGTTCGTTTGAATCTCTTGAACCGGTCTTTTTTCCATCTGTAGGTGTATGTTAAGACCATGAAAACGGACAGTTTTAATCGTAAACTGTCCAGACGACTCTGTTTGCGACCATTGTGTCTAGTTGAGTTCACTTCTGTGGGGAACGAAGATCCAGTGGTTGGACTGCAACCGTCGGCGTAACACCTGGGATGTGAATGCACAACCCTTCCCACACTACTCAAACCCGAGGGCAGCTCAGCCGATTTGCCAAAAGAAAGGTAAAATTAAATATAGTTGCTTTGGTCTAGACGGGGCTCAGCCAAGAGCGGCTGTCAATCTCAAAGTTGGGTTGCCTTCTTGAGTCCACGAAATTTGATCCCTAGTTGTTTCTACCATGGTCTACGTGGTCGGAGGCCAGTGAGCACAAGAAGGGCAACAGATGATACCCGACTTCTGTCCTCCCTTTAAAGGAACCCTGGTGCTCCTGACTCTACTGCGTCGTCGGCCTTCGAGCCTAGAACAATACATAAGGTGGTCTCCGGGCGCATCTGATGATAGGAGTGCGTGTCCCGTCCGAAGTCTTCTCCCACCCCCCCGTCTCCCCCTGCTTGTTTCTCATGAGACCGAAAAGACCTGCCTGCGGTCCCTTCTGCTCTGCTAAGGCAACAACCTTCTTTGTTATTTCATGCATTCAGACTGCATAGAAGGAAAGACTCCCTGAAGAAAAGAAAATAGGAAAGATTTACACATAATTTCCCCGCGAAGGGGCATCCGATA